TTTTTTCTCTCTTACTTTTGACAGATCCTTGAACAGAGTTATTTAAAACCCTGTTAGCTGGCAGTAGACATATTCCCAGTATTTATTTATGTAACAGATGCTTACTGAGCTGTGCTACACTCCCTACTGGGAACATGCTCAGTGGACATGGACAGGTCCTTTCCTGCAGCTGCATCCCGGGGGAGGTAAACAGAGTGTAAACCAGGGACCATGGGTCAGTTGTGGGGCAGCAGAGCTGTGAAGCACCCTAAAGGAGCATAAAGAGAACAAGCTCAGTGGGAAAGGGCCTTTCAGCGAGTTGCTTTCTGTCCTTACTCATGGACTGTTCAGAGCTGTATGTTATTGCTTAAATTGCGTAGGGACCAGCACCTTTGTGAGAGATGAATGGGCACAGCCACTAGTAAAACCTAAGGAGATCTGTGTTTTTATATGTTTGCTTCTTTTTTGTAAGTGGGGCAATGGAAAAATTTTTTCAAGCTTTTATGTTTTCAGTGACTCTATTAACATTTGTTCTTCCTGGTAACACATAGTAATATTTTCCCCTGCTTTATTTGAAGGCTCTTGAGATATGCCAACAGAGAAACTTTGTGGAAGAGACAGTTTATCTTCTGAGTAAGTAGTTTTCACTAATTTTGGCCCCCATAAACTAAGAAACGGGGTGACAATGTGATTTAAATTGTCTAAGAATTGACATAGGTTTTAAATGAAAATAACCCAGAGGTTAAAACCAATTTTATATAAGAATTTAATATATGGAAAAAGAGTGAATCTTCACAGCTCAATAGAGAAGGAAGAGTTATTTAATAAATGCAAATAAGGTAACATGTTATTATTCTGTAATAAATATATTGGCTTATATTACCACCATCTTGATAGAAATTAAATAATGTTCATTTTCAAAAATCATACCCTAAAAAATGGAGGAAATGCAATTGAATATCAGAATTTTCAAAAGAGAAAAATTTTTAGTATGATATAGCTGTCAGTTGTCCCTGGTCCTCTGGTCGCTACTTCTACATGAATCATAGTCTTTGTACCATGTATATCAAGAAAAAGAACTTAGTATCTTTTAACATTCTTCCAAAATGAACCACTTGCATAAAAGCAATGCAGATTCTTGAAGGTTTCCTAAGGAAGCTCTATGCAGATATTTGTAGCTAAAACAGAGTTCATATAGGTGTTCTTCCAGCCAGTATCACTTCTCTTCCCTACAATAGTAGGGTTTTTCCACTTCATGTCTTCCCCTCCTGTAGGACTCAGCTTCATTGACTTCTCTGGCCTCTGTTGTGAGAAATAATTAAAATCTTCTGTTCTGATTAATGGGTATGTAGATTTATGGGTGCTCAACAGCAAACCCAGCTGTTAGGCAGTTCTAGAGCCTACTATCCTTAGGAAAAGTGTTTTGGGGCAGTGTTTTTATTTCTTACGTTATTGGGGTTCTAATCACAATCTTAAGTAGCTCATCAGTTTATGTCTTCCAAACAGAATGACTCCCAAGATACACTCTAGTAAATTTTTGCCATAATGTCATATTGTTTTATGAGCAGAAGAGAGCTTATAAGGAAAACATAGTATCCTTCCTAAGTTATAAAATCTTAAAAATTATACACACATTTTTAAAAAATGAGAGATTCTGTAAAGACAAACTGTGGGAATAATATTGATAGGAAAAGCAAAATGTCATAGAAGATACAACAAATGATATATAATTTTATTCACAAGCCAGCTGTTATTATTTGGTGATGGCTGCCTAGAGCAAGGAGGACTCAAGATCATTAATAGTTCCTGCTGTGGGCCAGGGCCCAGGGCCACAGCCCGGCAGTTGCTGTCCTTGCTCTGAGTAGTGTTTTGCATGTATGGTATTAAAAACTCATGGAAATTTGTTACCAAAACCATTGAAATGCCAATAAATCAGTGAGCAGAATGTATGAAGATAATTAATCAAATAAAAGCATAGTTGGTAAGTTCTTTTATGTCATGAGAGTTATTGAAACGCTTTCCCATGAACTTGGAAGAGAAGGAAAATGAGGTGAACCCGCTGATCATCGAGTTTGCAGTTGGCACACACTGTATCACAAGAGCAATATGCAAAGCTACCTAAAGAGGCAGAAGGGCCGCCCAGGTTGATGGGTTGTGATGCTATATGTGGGGGCGGGGTCAGAGAGGGACAGTAGCAGTCCCCTCTGCCGCTTCCCGCTGCTACCCGCTGCTGGGGCCTACGCAGTCCATCTCACTGCTCGCTCCTTCTCCAGTTTACTGTTTATCTGCTTGAGAATGTGTGACCACAGTCAGCCCTCAGTGGGTCCGCCGCCTTGCACCCTCACTGGGTCCACCTGTTGCTACTCAACACCTGGGATCTGCCCATTGCCTGCACACCTGGGTCGAACGCCCTGGGTCGGTCCGCTGGGTCTTTCCTGCCCAACCCCGTTCTGCTGTTGCCTCTGCCCCTCTTACCGGTTTGGCTGAAGGGTTCGTTGTTGTCAGACTTCCATATAGTTCAATTTTTTTGTGGTTTGGCTGTGTTTTTTTTTGCTAAAACTTTGTTGTTTTTAAACTTCGTTGTGTGAGAAGGAAAAGTGTTTCCACCTACACCTCCATCTTGGCAGAAGTCCTAAGGTTCCACTCCTCATACCTAAGAGGCACGAAACAGATCAAAACATGGCTCAAGAACAACTCAGAGCCCTAGAGCTGATAAATCTAAGCAACTAAGAAATAGCCAAACTTTCCGATGCACAGTTCAAAACACTGGTGATCAGGATCCTCACAGAACTGATTGATAATAGCCACAAATTAGACAAACATATGAAGGCAAAACTAATTGAAATGAAGGGAATTGCACAGGAAACCAATAGCGATGAAAAGGAAACTGGGACTCAAATCAATGGAGTGGACCAGAAGAAAGCAAATAATGGCCAAACAGAAGAGTGAAGAAGCAAGAATTCAAAAAAATGAGGAGAGTCTTAGGAACCTCCAGGACATCTTTAAACATTCCAACATCTGAATTATAGGGATACCAGAAGGGGGAAAGGCACAGCCACCAGTGGAAAACTTATTTGAACAAATAATAAAGGAGAATTTTGCCAATCTGGCAAAGGAAATAGACTTTCAGGAAATCCGGGAAGCTCAGAGAGTCCCAAAAAAGTTGGACCCAGGAAGAAACACACCAAGGCACATCATAATTACATTAGCCAAGATTAAAATGAAGGAGAGAATCCTAGAAGCAGCAAGAGATAAGGGGACAGTCACCTACAAAGGAGTTCCTATCAGACTGTCAGCAGATTTCTCAAAAGAGACCTTCCAGGCAAGAAGGGGCTGGAAAGAGGTATTCCAAGTCATGAAATCCAAAGACCTACAACCAAGATTGATCTACCCAGCAAAGCTTTCATTTAGAATGGAAGGACAGATAAAGTGCTTCTCAGATAAGATCAAATTCAAGGAGTTCATCATCACCAAGCCCTTATTATATGTTAAAGGGACTTATCTAAGAAAAAGAAGTTGAAAAAACATGAACAGTGAAAGGACAGCAAACTCACAGTTATTAACAACCACACCTAAAACAAAAGCAAACTAAAAGGACAGCTAGATCAGGAGTGGAAACATAGAAAGGAAGATCTCAAGGAGGGTTAGCAACAGGGGAGTGGGAGAAGGAGAAGAGGGGAGAAGGTATAGAAAATAAGTAGCATAGACAGTAGATAGAAAATAAATGGGGGGGTGGGCAAGAATATATGGGAAATATAGAATCTAAAGAACTTGAGACACATGGTCATAAACTAAAGGGAGGGTAATAGTGGGGATGGAGGGTAGGGTGGAGGGGAATGAAGGGGGAGAATAGAACAACTAATGGCATAATCAAAAAAAATAAATTAAAATATATATATATATATACACTTTTGTCTTAGCTTTCAAACTGTGTAAACAAATTATGAGGTATGCTGTTTCTTTAATGGTACATCATTAAAATGTCCTAAATTAAGTACTTCTCACATCTTTTCTAGGCCGAATGGGTAATAGCCGAAGTGCCCTGAAGATGATCATGGAGGAATTACATGATGTTGATAAAGCGATTGAATTTGCCAAGGAGCAGGACGATGGAGAGCTCTGGGAAGATCTGATTTTATACTCCATCGACAAACCACGTAAGCAGAAAAGCCATCTGCTGTCATAATTTTTTTCTCTCAATATAGCCAGTTATGTCTACAGTAAGAATTATCTCAAGACACATTGAGTTAAAAATATGGTCAAGTATCTATAATAAAAGCAGGACAAGCACATCGTAACACTTTGCAATACTATTCCTATGCAGAGAGGCCTAGAGCCCCATCATTTTGTGTTACCTGAAAGTGATAAAGAACAAGTGCTTAACCTGATGATAGTAATTGTGTCCCCACGAAGCATATTTTTATTTGCTGCATCAAGAATATATTTGTTGGCCCTCTGCTTGACCATTTGCCATGGGTCTCCCATTTTGGAAAGAAACAAAAGCGGGTTCCTAACAGTAACCCAGTTTCTCTTTTGAAGAAAAAAGAAATGATTTGGAATCTCTAGCAGTAGTGGTTTAAATGCCCCCCCTTCTCTCTTTTATTTTTTGGTTAGAAGGCTTATTTGTTTCAAAATTTTCAAATTCTAGAAATTGCTGTTATGATTGCCTTTTTAATAAAGAGGTATAAGAGGATAATGTTAGTGTGACAGAGTTGTAGTTTAAAGATCTTAAAGGAAGCAAAGTGAGTATGATGTAACATATAGTGTACTGTCTGGCCTGGGTTTGAATTTGGGCTTGTAACTTGCTAGCAGTGTGGATGGATTAGTTAACCACCCCATGTCCCATTGCTGTAAAATGGAGACAAATGACATTTCTACCTTGCAGATAGCTGAGCCATAGTAGTTACATATCCTTTAATATCACAAACAGTATTCTGAAGTAGTCATTTTTGCTTTGTTTTAAATTATTTAAATTTAGCTTCTCCTTTGTGTCATGAGGAAAGTAAAAAAATAATAGTTCTTGAGAGTTAGAAATTCAAATTTGTTATCCTGCTGAAAGAAAATCTTGTGTTGATCATTTTTGATTTTTGCCTTCATGAGGGTAAAGTCATGATGGACTGACATGGACAATTCAAAACAAGAAAAATATTCAAATTTGAAGGAAATAGTTTTATCTTTGAGTTACTTTTGGCTTAAATAGCATGTGTGGAGGAGCTCAGCCAACAGCCCTGCTGTCCACCATTGATGAGAATAAATCTACCAGGACATGATCTGCTTGGAGAGGAAAGGTGGCTGATCTCTCAAAGAAGAAGGGCTAGGAGCTTGTTCCTCCATGGGCTTTTATTGGGTTTAATGTGCATAGGAACATAGGGCATATATATAAAGTTCAATCATTGTCAGGCAGTAATGATCAAACAATAGATAACATTCAAAGAACTCTGAGGGCTTGAGTCAGGGTTGGATAACTAAAGGGCCATAAAACTTTTGGGAACAAACTCACTTCCTGCTTGGACCCTGATCATTTAAATTGAGGGTATTAGCAAAGTAGGTTTCACAGGATTTTATGCTTTCTTTCTTAGGCCTGATCACAGTAGGGAACCCACTCTTTCCAGAATAGCGTTGCAGCCACCTCCAGCATTGTTTCAGGCTTAAGGCATTATTTAGGCTTAAGTCAGACAGGGGCAGTAAGGCAGCCAAGAGAGTATAAGACTTCTTGCAGACAGAATGAGGACTCAAGCTATGCCAAAGCTGAGGGACGAGGGTCCATCACCCTTGTTTTCTCTAGCCCCCCAAGTCCTTCCCTGAGAGCCCCCTTACAACTGTGCCTGTCTTAGGTCATCCCTCCCTTGAGAAATCTACCCATCATTGGCTAACTGGTCATCCGCCTGGGACAAGCAGGGTGAGGTGAAAGGGGGCAAAGGCATTGCCCCTACATGGAAGATAAGCTTTGACTCTTAAGTGGCTTATGGTCCCAAAGTCTTTTTACTCAGCCTTAGCCATGAGGGGTTACAGTTTCTGAAACTAGGCAGGGCTGTTTCCAACAATTATGTACATTGCTTATCCGTTGTTTTCTGTGGTATTTTGTAGCATTCATTACTGGTTTGTTAAACAACATTGGCACACATGTTGACCCAATTCTACTGATTCACCGTATCAAGGAAGGAATGGAGATTCCCAATTTGAGAGATTCCTTGGTTAAGATTCTGCAAGATTACAATTTGCAAGTAAGTATCCTTTCTTGGGGAAATAAACATGCTGAGTGAGTTGACTGATATGGATAAACATTTCTAGATTTATGGTAGGTATCAGTAGAATCATTCAATTTGATACTTATATTTTATTTAGGTCCACATATTTGGAAAACTGTTCAAATAGAAAAACTAAGAAATATCATCCTTTAACGAAGCCATCTTATTTTTAACTATCCCCAAATTTTCTCTTATTGATGAGTAGGCATCCTTATATTTGTGTGGTAGATATAATATGGCACTAGGGAAGAAGTAGTTACCATGGCCATTAGATCAAACCACCCAAACCATTTTGAGTAGAATGAGTATTATGTACAAGCCACTGCCAGCATCAGGTTCAACAGGGAAAAACTAAAAGTGTTCTCCTTAAAATCAGGAACAAGACAGGAATGTCCACTTTTATCTCACTTATATAACATAGTATTAGAAGGCCTAGCCAAGGCAATCAGAAAAGAAGAAGAAATAAAAGGCATCCGGATTGAAAAGGAAGAAGTAAAACTTGTTATTTGCAGATGACATGATTACTGAACCTCAAAGATTCTGTCGAGAAACTACTAGAACTTATAAATGAATTCAGCAAAGTATCAGTATACAAAATTAATTTCCAGAAATCAGTTGCATTTTGTATATGCCAATAATGAACTATCAGAAAGGGAAATTAAGAAAACAATCCCATTCACAATTGTGACAAAAAGAATAAAACAGCTAAGAATAAACTTAACCAAGGATATAAAAGACCTACATTCAGAAAATTATAAGACACTGAAGAAAGAATTTGAAGAAAATACAAATAAGTGGAGCATATACTGTTTTCATTGATAGGAAGAATTAACATCATTACAATGTCCATACTGCTCAAAGCAATTGATAGATTCAACACAATTCCTATCAAGATTCCAATGATGTAATTCACAGATCTAGAACAAATATTTCACAAATGTATATGGAACCACAAAAGACCCCACATAGCAGCAGTGATCCTGAGAAAGAAAAACAAAGTTAGAGGAATCACGCTTCCTAATGTCAAACTATACTACAAGGCTGTAGTAATCAAAACAGCATTGTAGTGGGACAAAAACAGACATGTAGATCAATGGAACAGAAGAGAGAGCTCAGAAGTAAACCCACACCTTTATAGGCAATTAATATTCAGCAGAGGAAGCAAGCACATACAATGGGCTAAAGATAGTTTATTCAATAAATGGTGTTGAGAAAATTGGACAGAAACATGCAGAAAAATTAAACTAGACCACCTTACACCACACATAATAAAATAAAAATGGATCATCCACTTAAATGTTATTAGGCTCCAACCATAAAAGTCCTAAAAGAACATATAGGCAGCAAAGTCTCTGACATTGCTCATAGCAATATGTTATCAGATATATCTCCCCAGGCAAGGAAAACAAAAGGACCTGAATAGTCACTTCTCCAAAGAGCACATAAGATGTCCAATAGACATAAGAAAAGATGCTCATCATCACTAATCATTAGAGAAATGCAAATTAAAGCAATGAGCTATCTTACACCTGTTAGAATGGCTGTCATCAATAAATCAATAAACAACAAGTGCCGGTGGGGATGTGGAGGAAAGGGAACCATTTTGCACTGTTGGTAGGAATGCAGACTGGTGCAGCCACTGTGGAAAGCAGAATGGAAATACCTCAGAAAATTAAAAATGAATCTGCCTTTTGACCTAGCAATCCCACTTCTGGGAGGATATCTGAAGGAACCCAAAACAGTAATTTGCAAGAACATAAGCACCCCTATGGTTCATTGCAGCATTATTTACATTTGCCAAGATATGGAAGCAGCCCCAGTGTCCATCAGAGATGAGTAGATAAAAGAACTATGGGACATTTACACAATGGCATACTAATTGGCTGTAAAAAATTTTTTACTCATTGCAACAATATGGATGGACCTGAGAACATTATGCTAAGTGAAATAAGCCAGCCAGAGAAAAACAAATGATTTCACTCATATGTGGAATCTAATGAATGAACTGAACTAACAAGGAAAATTGGGAAAGGCTCTTAGGGAGAACAGAATTATAACTAGTGGGAGTGGGAGGTAGCAGGTGGAGGGATTAAGGAAAAAAGAAAAAGGACTCATGGACACAGACAACAGTGTGATGATTGTCGGGAGGGGAGTACAAGGGCACCAAATGGCAATGGGAAAAAAATACAATAAGGATTAAATTAAAAGATAAACATAAAAAAAAAGGCCTTGTAGGTCTATTTAAATTTTTAACATCTAAATTCAATAAGGAGCCCTGGCTGGTGTGGCTCAGCTGATCAATGTCTTACTAAATGCATTCATGGAAAATTTCGAGTATGAGCTTTTGAGTGTAAACTCAGAGTAAGCAACTGATTTCATGAACCACTGATAGTTGCTATCAGGAATCCATTATGTTGACTAACATAATGCTGTGTTGTGTATCTGGTATTGTAAAACAGAACTTGTGTAATATAGTACATGATTCTTGTACAAGTGTTTCACCACCTCTGATTTCCTTCAGATTACTACAGATGTTATAGAATAAATATTTCTTTTCTATAGATGATAGTTTCTTTTTATATATACCTGGTTGGCATCATATAAATGAAGTTAAAAGGTTTTCATATTTTTCTGATTTGAAGCGTGGGTAGGTTTTGATCAAATGAAGTAGAAAGTAACATACTCAGCTGTGTTTGTGTATTTCCTATTTTCCTGGCTGTGTGCCTCTTAATAATAAAGTTTTCCTGAGAAAATATGTTATGCAGGCAAACAGATTATACCTATTTTAATAATTGTAAAACTGGTGAAAAAAATGGTTCCTCTTAGTTTGCATTTTTGGCTGTTTTCTTTTTTAAGTTTGTAGATACTGTGGCTTTTCCAAGGGTGTCCAAATTTTTGGCATCTCTGCACCACACTAGAATAAGAGTTGTCTTGGGCAACACATTAAATGCATCATGACATGTAATCACAAGAAAATCACATGATGTTTTGAGTAAATTTACAATTTTTTAAAATTTTATTTAGTTATTTTTCAAGTAGTTTTTTGTCTATTTTTCCCATCCCAGCCTCCCCTGCTCCTTGCTCCCCACCTCCCTCCCATTTCTACCCCCCTTAGTTCTCGTCCCTGTGTCCTTCCTATTTGTTCCTCCAAATCCCTCCCCTTTTTCCCCTTAACTTCCCTTCCTTCTCCCCTCTGGTCACTATCCCCTTTTTCTCTATTTCAGTGTCTTTTTTTTTTCTGCTTGCTTGTTTGTTTTGTTGTTTAGCTTCCTGTTAAAGGTGAGATCATATGGTATTTGTCTTTCAGCACCTGGCCTATTTCACTCAGCATAATGCTTTCCAGTTCCATCCATGTTGTTGCAAAAGGTAGTAGCTCCTTCTTTCTCTCTGAGGCATAGAATTCCATTGTGTATATGTACCACAATTTTTGGATCCATTCATTTACTGATGGGCACCTAGGTTGCTTCCAACTCTTGGCTATTGTAAATTGTGCTGCTATGAACATTGTGGTGCATAGGTTCTTTGATATTGATGTTTTAGGATTCTTAGGATATAATCCCAGCAGTGGAATTGCTGGGTCAAAAGGCAGGTTGATTTTTACTTTTCTGAGAAAATTCCATACTGTTTTCCATAATGGTTGTACCAGTCTGCACTCCCACCAACAGTGAACTAAGGACCCCTTTTCCCCACACTCTCTCCAACATTTGTTGTTTGATGCTTTGTTTATGATAGCCATCCTGACTGGTGTAAAGTGGTAGCTCATTGTGGTTTTAATTTGCATCTCTCTGATAGCTAACCATATTGAGCATCTCTTCATGTGTCTCTGAATGTTCTATCTGTCCTCCTTGGAGAACTGTTTGTTCAAGTCCTTTTCCCATTTTTTA